AATCTCTCAGCATTTGCTTGTCTGTAAATGTTTTTATTTCTCCTTCACTTATGAAACTTAGTTTGGCTGGATATGAAATTCTGGGTTGAAAATTCTTTCTTTAAGAATGTTGAATATTGGCCCCCACTCTCTTCTGGCTTGTAGAGTTTCTGTCGAGAGATCTGCTGTTAGTCTGATAGGCTTCCCTTTGTGGGTAACACAGCCATTCTCTCTGGCTGCCCTTAACATTTTTTCTTTCATTTCAATCTTGGTGAATCTGACAATTATGTGTCTTGGAGTTGCTCTTCTCAAGGAGTATCTCTGTGGTGTTCTCTGTATTTCCCAAATTTGAATGTTGGCCTGCCTTGCCAGGTTGGGGAAGTTCTCCTGGATAATATCCTGAAGAGTGTTTTTCAACTTGGTTCCATTCTCCCCATCACTTTTAGGTACACCAATCAAATGTAGATTTGGTCTTTTCACATAGTGCCATATTTCTTGGAGGCTTTGTTCATTTCTTTTTACTCTTTTTTCTCTAACCTTGTTTTCTCACTTAATTTCATTAATTTGATCTTCAGTCACTGACACCCTTTCTTCCACTTGGTTGAATTTGCTACTTAAGCTTGTGCTTGTGTCATGTAGTTCTTGTGCCATGGTTTTCAGCTCCATCAGGTCATTTAAGGTCTTCTCTACACTGGTTATTCTAGTCAGCCATTTGTCTAATCTTTTTTCAAGGGTTTTAGCTTCCTTGTGATTGGTTCGAACATTCTCCTTTAGCTCAAAGAAGTTTGTTATTACTGACCTTTTGAAGCCTACTTCTGGCAGCTCATCAAAGTCATTTTCTGTCTAGCTTTGTTCCATTGCTGGTAAGGAGCTGTGATCTTTTGGAGGAGAAGAGGTGCTCTGGTTTTTAGAATTTTCAGATTTTCTGCTCTGGTTTCTCCCCATCTTTGTATTTTTATCTACCTTTGGTCTTTGATGCTGGTGGCCTACAGATGGGGTTTTGGTGTGGTTGTCCTTTTTGTTGATGTTGATGCTATTCCTTTCTGTTAATTAGTTTTACTCCTAACAGTCAGTTCCCTCAGCTTCAAGTCTCTTGGAGTTTGCTGGAGGTCCACTCCAGACCCTGTTTTCCTGTGTATCACCAGTGGAAGCTGCAGAACAGCAAATATTGCTGCCTGATCCTTCCTCTGGAAGCTTCATCCCAGAGGGGCACCCACCTGTATGAGGTGTCAGTTGGTCCCTCCTGGGAGGTGTCTCCCAGTTAGGCTACATGGAGTTCAGGGACCCACTTGAGGAGGCAGTCTGTCCGTTCTCAGAGCTCAAACACTGTGCTCAGAGCACCATTGCTCTCTTCAGAGCTGTCAGACAGGAACGTTTAAGTTTGCAGAAGTTTCTGCTGCCTTTTGTTTAGCTATGCCCTGCCCCCAGAGGTGGAGTGTACAGAGGCAACAGACCTTGCTGAGCTGCAGAGGGCTCCACCCAGTTCGAGCTTCCCTGTATGCTTTTTACCTACTCATGCCTCAGCAATGGCAGACACCCCTCCCCTAGCCAGGCTGCTGCCTCACAGTTCGATCTCAGACTGCTGCACTAGCAGTGAGCAAGGCTCTGTGGGTGTTGGACCTGCCGAGCTAGGCGTGGGATATAATTTCCTGGTGTGCTGTTTGCTAAGACCATTGGAAAAGTGCAGTATTTGGGTGGGAGTGTCCCAATTTTCCAGGTACACTCTGTCATGGCTTCCTTTGGCTAGGAAAGGGAAACACCCCAACCCCTTGCGCTTCCTGGGTGAGGCAATACCCTGCCCTGTTTCAGCTCACCCTCCATGGGCTGCACCCACTGTCCAACCATTCCCAATGAGATGAACCAGGCACCTCAGTTGGAAATGTAGAAATCACTCATCTTCTGCATCAATCACGCTGGGAGCTGCAGACCGGAGCTGTTCCTATTCGACCATCTTGGAAAGGATGAAAGTTCCTATACACTTCCTTTTCCCCCTTACATCTTGTATAAGTATGATACCTTTGTTACAATGATTAACCAATATTGATATATTATTATGAAACAAAGTCTGTAGTTCACATTAGTGTTTTTTTTTTCTGTTGTACAGTTCTATGGGTTTTGAAAAAGGCATAATGTCATGCAACATTTCAGTATCATACAGAATAGTTTCTCTGCCCTAAAACTGCACCTATTCATCCTTCCTCCTCCCTAAACTCCTGGCAACTACTGTCTTTGTACTGTCTTCACAGTTTCATTTTTCCAGAATGTCATATAGTTGGAATCATATAGTATGTGGCCTTTTCAGACTGGCTTCTTTCACTTAGCTATATACATTTCAGGTCTTCCATGTCTTTCTGAGGCCTGATTTCTTTTTATTGCCAAATAATATTTTGTTTCTTTTGTGTTTTTTTGCTTTTTTTTTTTTTTTTGAGATAAAGTCTCACTGTGTCACCCAGGCTGGAGTGCAGTGGCTCCATCTCAGCTCACTGCAACCTCCATCTCACAGGTTCAAGCAATTCTCCCACGTCAGCCTCCCAAGTAGCTGGAACTGCAGGCATATGCCACCATGCCCGGTTAATTTTTGTATTTTTAGTAGAGATGGGGTTTTGCTATGTTTGCCAGACTGGTCTCGAATTCCTGACCTCAACTGATCCACCTGCCTTGGCCTCCCATAGTGCTGTAATTACAGGCATGAACCATCACACCCGGCCATATTTCATTGTATGAACATACTATAGTTCATTTATCCATTCACTTATTGAAGAACATCTTGGTTGCTTACAAGATTCAGCAACTATGAATAAAGCTGTTATAAATATCTGTGCAGAAATTTTTGTGTGGCTATATGTTTTCAACTCATTTGGCTTAATACAGAAGAGAATGATTGCTGTATTACATGGTAAGAATATGTTTAGCTTTGCAAGAAACCGCCAGTCTGTCTTCCAAAGTAGCTGCACCATTTTGCATTCCCACCATCAATGAATGACAGTTCTTGTTGAGCCACCTCCTTGTCAGCATTTGGTGTTGTCAGTTTTAGATTTTAGCCATTCTAATAGGTGGGTAGTGGTACATCATTAATATTTTAATTTGAAATTGCTACTGACATATGATGTGGAGCATGTTTCCTTATGCTTATTTGCTATGTGTATATTTTCTTTGGCAAGGTGTCTGCTCAGATTGTTTACCTATTCTTTAATTGGGTTGTTTTCTATTGTTGAGTTTTAACAGTCTTTTGTGTATTTTTAATGTAAGTCCTTTATCAGGTATGTTCCCTGCAAATATGTTCCCAGTCTGTAGCTTGTATTGTCATTCTCTTGACAATTCTTTTGCAGAGCAGAAATTTTTAATTTTAATGACAGAACTTATCAACTTATCAATACCTTCTTTCAAGAATTGTTCTTTTGGTGTCATATCTAATAAGTCATCATCAAACTTAAGGTCATCTAGATTTTCTCCTGTGTTATCTTCTAGAAGTTTTATAGATATTCACTTTTCATTTAGGTCTACAATAAACTTGGAGTTAATTTTCACGAATGCTGTAAGGGAGCTTCTAAGGGGGACATACGCTAACTTCTTTGAGAGTGGACAGTGATTGTGAAACTCTTAGCTGGGTCTTACAACAGACCCCAGATCCATCCGGAGAGCCCCACCTTCAGAAACCCATAGTGGAATGTGTTTCATGGATACACAGAGGAGAATATGCAGTCATATGCTCACATGCACGCCTGCACATGATCACACACATGCATATGGTATGTCCTGATCCAGAGTTGTCCAGGCATTCTCTGAAAGTGGTTCTTTCCTTCAACTTCAACTTCTTTAAGAGGTACAATGACAGAATGTCATTAAAATAAAAACTTCTACTCTGCAAAATAATTGTCAATGGACTGACTCTGTATGTCCATTCATGTCTCGTTGTGTCCCTGGACTGACTCTGGATGGGCGACAGTGGCCTTACCTGGTAGTGAGCTCAGACTGCACCTTGGTACTCAAAGCGCACTGAGTAGGTGAGGGTGTGGGCAAGTGTGCAGTGAAGGTAGGACAGCCACCCGCTAGGTCTCCGGAAAAACCCCCAGGACAGGGATGTTCAGGCCATGTGATGCTATACTAAGCTGTTTTACGTGAGGAAGGGGTGCTTTTTAAGAATCTGTCTAGAGGGCTATGGGCACAGATCTGTGTTCGAAGATTTTCTGGGCACTTACGTTTTGTGAGACATCAGATAGAGACAACTTTCTGAGCCTCAGTTTCGTCACGTGTAAAATGGGCATGAATGCTTTTCCCCTTCGCAGAGGTTTGTGGCAATTAAGTGAGGTGAGCGTGCAACGCTTTTTGAACAAAGCTGACATGGAGGTACTTGTTCAGGAAATAAGAGATACTATTATTACTACTCTTCATAGCATACTGTAAGGTTTCCCTTCCTCTCATCCCAGCTCTGAAGGACATCATCAAGGTCAACTGAGCCCCTTCTGTTTCTTCTCTTCCCTCTAACCACGTCGCCCCTTCCTTTCCCCCATCCTGCCCCCATTCTTAGCCCCGCCCCTGTCCCCGCCCTTTCCCGGGCCCCGCCCACCAGCTGTGCACCAGCACAGCCCTCCCTCAGCGGGGCAGGAAGCTCATGGTGTAGTTTCGTGGGATCGTGGCAAAGCCCACGTGTTTGGGGGACACATCGATGTCCTTAGGCGACTGGGGGGACTCGAAACGAAAGTTCTGCATGATGGTGGTGAGGAAGAGAAAGAGCTCCATTCTGGCCAGGCCTTCTCCGAAACAGTTCCGCTTTCCTGAGGAGGAGAGCCGGGAGGGGGGGAGGTGAAGCCCACTCTCAGTGCAGCCTCGCCCCACTACCGACCTCCAGCTGCGGCTCTCCCAGGGAGGAGAGGTGGAATATTATGGCCTGAGAGACTTTCAGAGGAGACTCTGATCCTCCCTGAGCCTCAGTTTCCTTCTATAAGAGATATAACAGTGGTGAACCAATATTGATATATTATTACTAACCAAAGTCCATAGTTTACATCAGGGTTTGCTCTGTGTTGTACAGTTCTACGGGTTTTGAAAAAGGCATAATGTCACGCATTCATCAGAGATGGATGATCCATGCCAGGTGTAGCAATGGGAGGTTTAGATGCCCCTACCTGCCAGACACACTTGCAAATATGATTGCTGTGCTGTGCCATTATCTCCTTTTCAGGGATCTGAAGAATCTGCTGTGTGACCCGAGACAAATAAATCTACGGGGGAAGATGTTTCCTTCCCTTTTACCTAGGCGCAGGTATGGCGTGCTTGGTGGTTAAGGTAGTATCAGCTCGTGGCTCAAAGGTAGAATTTAAAAGGAACTTCCAAGCTGGAGAAATACCAGGCTACACCGCACAGAGGGGAGCTGGGTGAGGGAGGCTCCTGCTGGTGTGAGCAGTGGCCTGGCGGCAAACAGTAGTTAATCTCTTACCGATGGAAAAGGGCACAAAAGCATCACTCTTCTTAAACTGCCCCTTCTCATCCAGGAAGTGCTGGGGATTGAAGTCCTGGGGGTTGGAGAAGAACCTGGGGTCTCTCAGCACGGAGCCCAGCATAGGGAACACTTCGGTGCCCTGGGAGGGAGGAGGAAGGTGTGTGTGATGAGGCAGGTTGGGGGATTGGTGAAAGTACACAGGGGCTGGAGGGAGAACTAGGGTGCCCCAGGTAAGCGGAAGTGGCAGGCATGGAGGAGTTGGGGTCCTCTGAGGAAGGAATTTTGGGGCATAGAAGGTTCATGTCTCTGAAACAGGAAGTTTGGGAGACATGGGGTCCATGTCCTGCTAGGCAGGGTGTTTGGGGGACCTGAGATTTGTGTCCCTAAGGCAAAAGGCCTAATGGAAAGGGGGCTCCTGTTTCTTAAGACAGGAAATTTGGGAACATGGGGTTGATTCTCATGACACAAAGAGTCTGGGGAGATGCAGGACTCAGGAGTCTCTAAGTGGGAAGGTGGAATGGATGTGGTGGTGGGGGAAGTCCTTTTTGACTGATTGAGGGAGTGGGACAGGGTCTAGAAAGCTTCTAATGGGGGTGGGATGCTGGGGACACAGAGAGGGGCTGGAAGTCCCTGTAGTCTGGGGGTTGAGGGGACAGTACCTTAGGGAGGAAGAAATCCCGAAACTTGGTGTCCCTGATGACCCTGTGGGCCAAACTCATGGGGATCACATCTCCAAATCTTTGGATCTCGTGGATCACTGCCTCCGTGTAGGGCATCTTGACCCGGTCCTCAAACTTGGGCTGCCGGTTCTTGCCGATCACTCTGTCAATCTCCTCGTGGACCTTGGCTGGGGGAAGAGGGGGAACGTGTTTGGGTAGCTGGGGGTCTCAGGGCAGGGATGATAGTCTGAATAGGTAAAACGGGGTGGGTGACATGGCTCCGTGTATGACACAGAGGTAGATCATTCATAGCGGACATCAGTCATTCACATTGTTGGAGCAGGATCCTGTTTACCAGGTCATGCCAGAATCACAGGGGAGGCACCAGGAGGAACTTAGCGGATGATCCAGAGGAGCGGGTAATGGGGCACTCAGTGGGCTTGGGACAGGAGTGACTGATCAATCACTGCAGACATTTTCAGTATTTTAATAGCCAGTGAGACTCAGCTGATGCCTATCAGCTGAATATTGCCCTGTCTCTGGACAGCAAGGCACGTCTCAGGGTCCTGAGATCTGGGACAGGTGGGGACACTGCAGCAGGTCAGGGAGTTTTGAGGGTCTGGGGCTCTCCACTTCCCTCCCCCTCCAGCCTTACCCTCCACCTCTGGGTGTTTCATGAGCAGCAGGAAGCCGTAGCGCAGGGTGGTGCTGACGGTCTCGGTGCCCGCAAAGAAAAGATTCAGCGTGGTCAGCACCAGGTTCTTCATGTAGAACTCCGTGTTGGGGTTCTTCTCCTCCTGCAGGGAGAGGGGCCTTTAGACCAACCTCACTCCCCATGCTCTTGGGGCCCTTCTAGGGCTTTTTTCTTGGATCTTCCTCTCTTTGGTCCAGACCAAAGGTGGAAAGAGGGACCCTAGATCTGCCAGACTCGCTCCAGGTTCCAGCCCTTGTCCTGGCTGCTGACTTTGGCCAAAATGCTCTTCCTTCTCACCTTCTTTACCTCGCTGACCATCTGTCCTTTAATTATCAACTTAGCTGTCAGGTTTTTTTTTTTTTCTTATACAGACTTGGTCGTGCTAAGTTGTGCAGGGTGGACTCGAACTCCTGGGCTCAAGGAATCCTCCAGCCTCAGCCTCCTGAGTACTTGGAACTGCACATGCACATGACCATGCAGGCTCACTTGTTTTTTACAAAAAATTAATTTTTTTTTGCGACAGGATCTTATTCTGTCACACAGGCTGGAGTGCAGTGCCATGATCTTGGCTCATTACAACCTCTGCCCACCCTGGGCTCAAGCTATCCTCCCACCTCAACCTCCTGAGTAGCTGGGACTACAGGCATGCACCACCATACCCAGTCACTCTTTGTAGTTTTTGTACAGACGGGATTTTGCCATGTTGCCCAGTCTGTTACTTTTTTAATGGTATGAATATTTAGAAAGAGAAGGATGAGGGGAGATGAAGAGAAAGTAGTACAGAGATGGCAAGATGAAGAGTCAGAAAAAAAGAGTTTTTCGGAGATACAAGCACAGAATTTGAAGCAACAGCATCCTATTTCTTCCCTAAAAAATCTTGAAACTTACTATGGAGGAGTCCCCTCCCTTGATCCTTTCTCCCTGAGCTTCAGACTCCCTAAAGCCTTCCCACGTGGGAGACTGACGTCCAGATGGAGGTGGGGACCCTGCAATGTAAAGCCAGGTCACCTGTCCACAGAGGTGTGTCTGATAACCCGGGCATGAATGGTTACAGAGCATGGTGGGTAAAAGCACCAGCTTTAGGCTCAGAGACACCAGCCTTTGAGCTTGGGGGACCAAGGCTTCCTCGCTTTGTGACCTCAGTTAAGATACTTAAACTCTCTGGGCCTCAGTTTCCTCATTTGCACAATCGGGGCCATGACTGAACTTCCTTCAAGAGCTGTTGTGAGTGTTCAATGGGGGACTATCTTAAAGCACTTAACACAGTGCCTGGAACATGGTAGTGCTGTAGAAGTGCTTGCTATTCTAATTCACATGCGCAAGTCCTGCCTGTGGGTGAGGGCTCGGTGGTTGGAACAGCTGTGGTTGATATAGTTGGGATTGTGAGGATTTTTTTTTTTTTTCCTGAGAGTCTTGCTTTGTCACTCAGGCTGGAGTGGAGTGGCATGGCATGATCTCGGCTCACTGCAACCTCTGCCTCCCGCATTCAAGCCATCCTCCTGTCTCAGCCTCCTGAGTAGCTGGGATTACACGCGCACCCCACCTCGCCTAGCTCATTTTTGTGTTTTTAGTAGAGATGGGGTTTCACCATGTTGGCCAGGCTGGTCTCAAACTCCTGACCTCAGGTGATCCATCTGCCTTGGCCTCCCAAAGTGCAGGGATTACAGGCATGAACCACCGCGTCTGGCCAATTGTGAGGATTATTATGATGAGGGCTAATTTGAATGGGCCTGTGTCGTCTGCCCGCCCCACTCCCAGCCTGATTTCCCTCTGCCTGGCTTTGCACCTCCCCGCACTGGCTGCTGGGGTGTACCTCCTGCATGCGGATGAGAAAGGAGTCGATGAAGTCCCGTGGGGAATTGGGATCCAGCGTGCGCTGGTTGTGCTCCACCTTCTTGGCTATAAAGTCCTCCAGCCCTTGCAGCTCCTTAAAGGCCTGTTGCTGTGGTCCTGGCAGGTGTTTCATCACTGAAGAGAACATCTCATAGAGCTGGGGTTGCAGAGAGAGGATGGGAGGAAAGGACAGTTGTCAGGGGCCAGGAGCTGATGGGAATGGGACTTGTTTCATAGCAAGGAAGGAACTGAGTTAAAGGCATCTGTCCAGGTGTTTAGGTATTTCAGTGGGGTTGGATGGGAACTTATATCTAAGTTTTCATGTGGATTAGGTGCCAGGGCCACGGTCTAGTAATTTAGGTGAGAAGAACTGAGGCATATATCCAGGTTTCAGGTATGCAAATGAGGCTGGATTGGAGCACACATCTAAGTGTTCACATATTCAAGTGAAGTTGAGTTGGAAGACACCTGATCAGGTGTTTAGCTATTCAGGTGGGGCTGGTATGAGGGGAGTGTCATCTGTCTAGGTATTTAGGCATTCAAGTGGGCTTGGTTGGAGACAACTACCCAGAAAATTTTTGGGTCTGAACTGGGGGCTTTTGTTCAGGTGTTCAGGTATTAAAGCGGGGCTGGTGAAGATGTTGAAGTGGAGGGGATACCTGTTCAGGTCTTTACCTAGCCAAGTGGGATGCATTGGGAGCTCCTCTGTAGGGTGTGTGATTGGAAAGTGTTGGGGAACACTTATTTGGGTGTCTGGGGAATAATCTGTCTAGATATTTATGTGTTTAGGGTGTTGGTTAGGGCAACTGTCCATGTTTTCAGGTATTTAAGTGGGTGAAGTAGAGGGTGCTTGGCCAGATATTCCAGTGGGCTAATTTGGGACATTTGTGTAGATATGAAATGATTATGATGGGCTGGATTTTGCAGCACCAGGTGTTCAGGTATGCAGGAAGGGGTAGAGGCAATCACTTGTCCAGGTGTTAAAATATTCAGAAGAATTGGGTAGGGAGCATCTGTTAGAAATTTTGGTAAGTTGGGGATGGGAACACGTGCCCAGGTGAGAGAGCTGAGCTGAGGGCTTGCATCCTGCCGGCAGGCTCTGTTCTGGTGAGCATCTGTTGAGCTATTCGGGTGTCCTTGGAGACTGGGTATTGGGCACCCATCCTGGGTTCTGTTGCAACTGCCCAGTTGTCCAATATTGGGGGTTGATTTTGAGGGGACACTGTCTGGAGGGGGGTGGGAGTTTGGGGCACCTGTCTCCAGGTAGGGGAGCAGTTGGCAGGTTGTGGTAGGGGCATCACGGGCCGGGCTGCAGCCGGTTACCTGCCCTGCGGAGGTTGCCGTGAACTGGAAGCTTCCCAGCATCATGCGCAGCAGTGACAGGAACTCTTTGTCTTCATAGTCAAAGCGGTCCCCAAAAACAATGGAGCTGATGACATTAGAGACGGTGCGACTCAGGAAGAAGGTGGGATCGATATTGGCGCCTGCGGGTGTGGCCGGAGGAGAGGGTTGGGGAGAGAGTCAACTCAGAGGCCTGGGGAGAGTCAGAATTCCGGAAGGCAGGGCCCAGTTGAGCCAAATTCCCCGCGCCAGACTCCAGGGTTGGAAATGCGGGGGCCTTTCCCCACCTAGTCCCCATCCCCAGGCAGAACGCGCACGCGCGGGTCCCTAGCCCTGGGCGTTTTCCTGCTCCTGCCACCGCACTCGGGGTCCCCTGCTCACC